AATTTTCCAAGAAAGGCCGTCAAACGAAAATACCCTTCAGCAGATAATCTTATAAAATTACTTAACAAATCATCCCTCTTAAACAACACTAGAGAAGCATAGACACAGAACTTCCAGTCTAGATATCAAAATGGGTAACTCGAAACAAATGGGTTTCTGGTTCTCCTCCTTCCTGTTCCTCATGGCAGCCTTAGTAGAGTCTGGTGCTAGTGACGGTAGATGCGATGTGGCGTGGTGTGGGAAGAACCAGGTGAGTTTCCCCTTCCGGCTCCCTTGGCAGCAACCTTACTGCGGCTATGCTGAGGTGTACGTATCTGGTTCCGAGAGGAACGAAATTCTCCTTCACCTGCCCAAATCAAACGTCTCCGTTAAAAACATCAATTACAGGAAGCAGCTGATTCAAGTATCCGACCCAGACAATTGCTTTCCCAAAAAGTTAACTTCCGACCTCCTATCTTCTCCTTATTTCCATTTTGCAGAAGACGATATATCCAATTTCACCCTATTCAGTTGCCCGCCGGAGGAAAACCGGGATTTGGACGGGGAGATCCCTTGCCTAAGCGATACTTCCTCCAAAGTTTATGCCCAAAGTGCTGATTCATACGTGAATTACTTTCCTCTGCTGCATTGTACCAAGATGTCTGACGTTTTGGGAGTCCCATATGCCTTGATGACCGGCCAAAGTAAAGTTCTTCAGTTGAGTTGGAATGAACCGAACTGCTGGGATTGTGAGATACTGGACGGGACGTGTCTGGGGAATGGTACTGGTACAGAATTTACAACTTTTTGTAAAGGAGGACAGCCCAAAGGCAAAGATAAAGGTATTGCTCTGCTCTGCTGTTCTGCTCCTTACATTACCGGTTTTCCTGCTCCAAATTTAGTGGAATTCATAGCCTCTTTTGTAACTTTTGCTTTAGAATGGGAATAGCGTAAATCCTAAATCCTTGAACTTTCATGATTTTGGCGGTCAAGTCTCTAAAGATTTTCTTAGGTAAAGTCCCTACAATTTCTAAATTCAATGTTCTAGGGCCAAAATGCAATAAAGAAAGTTTCTTGTACATCAATCATGAAATTGAGAAAAAACTAGATGTCCTGATAAATGTTCAAAGGCTAAATTTAGGACTTTTCTATTATTAGAATTGGTTGGATGAAAAGAGTAGTGATATACTGGTATGGTAGTCTGAAAGGAAGAACATTTAATTAGTTTTAAACAATTTGGAATTAGAAGATGCAAATCTTCCAACTTTTTTTTCATTTTTTGGTCGGTGGAAGAATCTATCATGTTAACATTAAACCTCTCGAGTGCATTGATAGCATATGTGCATGAGTAGACATTTAAATCAGTAGGTAGATCAAGATTTTGCAGATTTAGAAACATGAACTAATATCCTGGTGATTTTTAACAGGTCATTTAAAAGGAGAAATTGCAGGTAAGATTTATACTAATTACTCCTTATGTTATTCATTTTCTGGGGTCATGGGGTCATGGATGCATCATATTTGACTATATATACTGTTCTCTGCAGGCTTAGTCTTAAGTTCCCTTTTTCTGATGCTAGTTCTGGGTTCAGCCTATCATCTTTATAGAACTCGTAAGATAGAAAGAGAGCATCAAGTGAAGATAGAAAAATTTCTAGAGGATTACAGAGCCCTTAAGCCTACTCGATATTCATATATTGATATACAGAGAGTTACAGAGAATTTCAAAGATAAATTGGGGCAGGGAGCCTATGGAACCGTGTACAAGGGAAAGCTTTCAGATGAAGTGTTTGTTGCTGTGAAGATCTTGAACAATTCAGTGGGAAATGGAGAAGAATTCATCAATGAAGTGGGAACAATGGGGAAAATCCACCATGTTAATGTTGTTCGATTGGTTGGTTTCTGCGCAGATGGGTTTAGAAGAGCTCTAGTTTACGAGTTCTTACCAAATGATTCTCTGCAGAAGTTCATATCTTCGGCTGACATGGAAAGCAGTTTTCTTGGCTGGGAGAAGCTGCAAGAAATTGCTCTTGGAGCAGCCAGAGGAATTGAGTATCTTCACCAAGGCTGCGATCAACGGATCCTTCATTTCGATATTAAACCACACAATGTCTTGCTAGACCATAACTTCAATCCAAAGATTGCAGATTTTGGACTTGCAAAGCTCTGTTCCAAGGATCAAAGCAAGGTGTCCATGACAACAGCTCGAGGGACTATTGGATATATTGCACCTGAAATATTCTCTAGGAACTTTGGTAACGTATCCTGCAAGTCAGATGTCTATAGCTTCGGAATGTTGTTGCTGGAAATGGTTGGGGGAAGGAAGAATGTTGATGTTAAATCAGAGACTGATGTCCAAATTTATTTTCCGGAGTGGATATATAATCTCTTAGAACATGGAGAAGACTTAAGGATCCATATCGAGGAGGAAAAAGATGTCAGGATTGCAAAGAAACTGGCAGTTGTGGGACTTTGGTGCATCCAGTGGCACCCAGTGGATCGTCCTTCAATGAAAGCTGTTGTTCAAATGTTGGAGGGAAATGGAGAGGATTTAACCATGCCTCCTAATCCTTTTGCTTCCTCCAATGGTCCAGAAAGAATTCATCCGAGTGCTTTAGGAAGGCGCCGGTTCCCCGAGCTAGAAGCCATCTCAGAATCCAACCAAGAAACAGAGGGAGACCATGTATGAGCATCTAAGATAGATAATGAGAGAATTTAGTGAATAGTGGTTTGTAAAATGGAATATGTCAAGTTATGCACTTGTTCTTGATACTTGTAAAATCTCAAGATGTATACCCACTAAATAAGTTGAAACCTATATGTAAATTTGGAAAATTATTAGTGAATATCAATCCATATCAAAATAAGGAGATTTTATTAGAGCATAAATCCAACATGGTTGTCCTCGATGAATGTGTATAAAGAACCTGAACAAGATCAGTTGAGGAGCATTTCTTAGATTTTTAAGGTGCATATTTATTTTTCAACATGACAGAATAGTTTGAATTCAGAGTTGAGACATACATGTTTTAGGACATTTTGGCATAAGTTCTTGTCACCCAAAAAAATTATATGAATGTTTTTGTACATGGTTCAATTCAAGGAAGAGGAAGGCAAAACGAAACTTAGAATAAGATCATATGAACTCCTAAGAGCATACTGTTGGGTAGAAATTAGGCGTACCGGGTGAATTAATGTGCATTAACTTGTTCAAATTATGTTCTTAAGAGATATCATTAAGGATTCTTTTATTTCATGCTCTAAAAGTATAACAAATATATTTTTTTTATAAATTTATGTTAAAAAAATAAAAATTAATTTTTAATTTATTAATTATCTAATTAAATTTATTTACTTGACACCAATAATAAAATCAATATCAATTTTTATATTCTTCAATTCATATTTATAATAAAAAAAGAAAGAGTAGATTTAAGAGTATGGGTTAAAAAATCCCATAGCAAAATTATGGTGGATGTTAAAAAGCTTTTATAAATAGCAATCTTTTGGGCCTGTACTCAGACGAGGAAATTGGGTTGTCGACTCGTGGGGTCCCTCAGGGGTAGGCTCACAGTCTCACACCCTTAATTCATTCACCAACACCAGGTACTGTTTTTGGGTACGATTCTATTGGGACACACAAGGCCCACCACTAAATGGGCCCAAGTGCACAAACACTGTTCTTCACATTGGCTTACTCCATTTTTTTTTTTTTAATTTTAAATTAAAATAAAATTCACTCCGGCACAATAAAAGTTCGAGTATAGTTAAGCAATTTTTTTAAGCAATATCTAACTCTGAGCTTGAGTTTAAGATTTAACTTGCACTTTCCTCTGATTCAGTCATTCTTTATCACCAAATCTCATGTTGTCGCCGCTTTCATCTTCTCCTGAATAACTGTCTTAAATCACTGCCTAAATTGACTCTTCATTTCAGAATTCCTAACAAAAAGACAAGATACCTTTTTGCTTCACTATGTTCTAATGCAATTTTTTTAACTTTTTGATCCGAGGATTAAATTCTTCGTGCAATTTAATACTTTAGCTGCCTAGTTATTACAAGAATTTAAACTTTTCAACTTTAACTCTTAAATTAAGGTTTTTTTTTTTTTTAATGAATAACAATTCCATTAAACTCTTATAAATTTTTTTAAAAAAAATCACTCCTTTCATTTTAGCATTTCGTAAAGTATTAGTTAAAAAATATAGCATACGAATCATGCCCAATTATATTTTATGTCCCTAGATGATGACTTCCACACTCACATTATTAAAATTCCCAGAACCCATGTGATTCATAACCCTTTACAATATACAAAGTCTGGAATGCATATATCGCTAATCAAAGCCAATTTCAATGAATTTGGCCCCAAGTTAGGTCATAGTATCCGTGGAGATGGACCAACTAGTGCCTTTGGCTTTATATCGTTAAAATATAATTTTGTTTCTCAGCGTCAACTTCTGCTCACTTTTATTCTCTCATTTCACACCCCTTTTAGATGAATTAGTTTAAAGTAAATTAGCTTAAAGTTTTAGTACACTTTGCTTTTTTATAATTTTTAAAAATTTGATATGCTATTATATAAATTATACTAAACTGTAAAATATTAATTATTAAATAAAAATTCTTAAAAAATAGAACAAATTTAATGGTTAATATTTTATATTCCATGCTACAACACTTTTTTGATTTGTTATTACTTTTTGCTTTGCATAACTTCTAATCAATTGGGTAGTCAAATTAGGCAACGCAAGAGAAACGATAAAACGACCAAAACCTGTATAAAATTCATCAATAAGCTTTGTATCTAGTTGAGATCAAAGGGGGACATATTGAACAGTTTTGTAGAAATGATCATCTTTCTATTCTTTTATGCCATCTTTGTAGCAAATGCTGCAGAGGTGATCAGGTCAGTGGAAGTAAAATGCATGACACGAAGGTGCAGCCGCGGAGGACCAGCTGTTGGATACCCGTTTTGGCTGAGAGATCGCCAGCCTGAATGCTGTGGAGCTAGGGAAATTCCTGGGTTTGAGCTGTTTTGCGATGACAAGAAGAAGACAGTGCTCAGGCTGCCAAATTCAATCGTCAACCTGTCTGTAAGGCACATTGACTACCAAGCTCACCGGATAGATTTGTATGATCCTGATCACTGCGTTTTAAATAAACTCCCCTACCTCAATCTATCAGATTCTGCTCCCCTCCGGCTCTTCAATCCTCAAAGCTTGATGGAAGTTGTCTTGTTTAGCCGTCTTACTGATAAGGGATTAGAAAAGAACATTGTCCCCTGTTTATCCATCAAAGTCATACCAGCTGTTGATCAGCTGAATACAACCTTCCTCGTAGGTTACAGTAGGATAAGTGATGTAACTAGGATTCCCATGAAACTGCATGATAATATATACGATGGACGGCTCGGTTCAGAAGATATGGATTATGAAATTCAATTAAGTTGGCACCACCTTGTCTGTCACAACCAGAGAGAGCAAGGCCAGCGCTGCAGCTTGAACTTTCAGATCAACCAGGAGGAAACCTACTGTAACTTGGATTCCACTCACCGGGACGGTATGAGTTTTTTCATCCTTTCTGGTTATGATACTTATCTACAGTTAGTTCCTATCATTGTGATTATCAACAAAAGTTTATGATTTGAAATCTACTGCAGGTACTAAAAAAAGAGCAGCCGTTGTAGTTCTAATGGTTGTTTTCATTGCAATTTTTGCTGTTGGTATTTATTACCTTTTCTATCACTCGGATAAAGTGAAGGAGAATCAAGAGAAGATAGAAAGGTTTTTGGAGAATTACAGAAATCTTAAGCCCTCCAGATTCAGTTATTCTGATATTAAGAGGATGACAAATCAGTTCAGGGAGAAACTTGGACTAGGGGGTTACGGACCTGTGTTCAAAGGCAGACTAGCCAATGATGTTTTGGTTGCTGTCAAACTTCTCGACAACTTCAAAGGAAATGGGGAAGAGTTCATAAACGAAGTGGGAGCAATGGCGAGAATCCATCATGTTAACGTGGTGCGTTTGGTTGGATTCTGTGCGGAAGGAAATAAACGGGCTCTTGTTTATGAGTACATGCCAAATGACTCAATAGAGAAGTTCATATTTGCTACCAAAAATGGAAATCGTTTCCTCAGTTGGGAGAAGCTTTATGACATTGCTTTGGCAATAGCTAAAGGAATCGAATACTTGCACCAAGGATGTGAGCAACAAATCCTCCATTTTGATATAAAGCCCCACAATATCTTGCTAGACAATAGCTTCATTCCTCAGATATCTGATTTTGGTCTTGCTAAACTATTTTCCAAAGAACAAAGTGTTGTTTCTGTAACAACAGCCAGGGGTACCATTGGATTCATTGCACCCGAGGTACTGTCAGGGAACTTTGGTAATGTGTCCCATAAATCAGATGTTTATAGTTATGGAATGATGTTGCTCGAGATTGTAGGAGGGAGGAAGATCACTGATGATTTAATGGAGAATACAGGCCAAGTTTACTTTCCGGTATGGGTGTATAATTGCTTGGACAGGGGAGAAGAGATGGGAATTAGTGTAGATAACGAGGGGCATGCCAAGACTGCAAGGAGACTAGCAATTGTTGGACTTTGGTCATCCAATGGTATCCAACAAACCGTCCTTCAATGAAAGTTGTGATTCAAATGTTGGAAGGAGAAGCTGATGCTCTAACAGTGCCCCCAAATCCTTTTGCCTCTACAGAACGAATGAAGATAAGAACAACCATTCCTAGGAAGCTAGTTTTGACTGAGCTAGCATCGATCTTTGAGTTAGAATGAGAACAATTAGGAAGAATGAGCATCTACTTCAGTTTGTTTTAAGTGAGTTGTATCCGTTGAAGCAATAAAATAGAGATGCATTTTATTTATCCACTAACAATTCTGGATTTCAACAAAGATCCTCAAACCGTTTTGTTGAAGACAATGGAATAATCCAGCATGGTCACTGTTCACGTGCACTGTTTATGTCCAGTTCAGTTTCATTAAGTTGCTAAGAAGTTTCTTTATTGATTTTCCAATGTAATCATCATGTATCTTCAATGTTAAGTAACTCATCTCAATGTATGGCTTGATAAAACAAGGAAAAGATTGGCTGAATTGCTTGTCTCTTATTTACAATTGAATTCAAATACATACGAGACATTCTGCTCAGGAAATAAGAAATGCAAGGAAAGAAATAATATAGACTTTAGTTCCAGGAAATCAATGGTAATCTAGAGAATCAAATCTTCAATTTAATGACAAGATTGTACTATGTAGCACTCTCCTTAACATGGCTTTACTTTAATTGTATCCATGTACAATGCTCCGTGTCTTGGGGTTTTAGTATTATTATTCAAAGGTAGTAGGTGAGCCCTATAATGTAAAGACTTCTACATACAAAACAAATTTGTATTGATGAAAAAGGCATGGAAGGTAATGGAAAAATCTGAGCATCATCTCTAGCTTATTTCATGTTATTTTGTTCTTCTTATTGCATGCTTCTCAAGATTGTCTTTTGACTTTTATGTTGATTGGAATCAGTTTTACCAACTGATCTTTACACTTTTGAACACTACAAGACATCGTTCCTTGTTTCTAAGAACTACAATCACCAAACATGGCCAAAGCACTAACATTTAGTTACAATGCAAATATCATTCCTTCATCAGAAGCAACAGATTTAAATGGTTCATTAATACAAACGAGCTAGGATTGAGAAAATGAACAGAGCGTAAAGAACACTAGTGTTTCATGAATTACAATAGTACTTTGAAATTCTAAGTATTTGAAGTCATAGAATCAAGGGATTTGAAGATCTCCTCTACTAAATTTGTACTGGGAGGATCATTATCAAAAGATACAAAAGGCTTTGGAGGCATTTCAAGGAGTTCAACTTCGCCTTCTAGCATCTCCAATGCCTTGCTCATTGAAGGGCGATTGGTAGGATTCATTTGTATGCACCACAAGGCAACCATGATCATCCTCCTTACAAGTTTCTTTTCACCCTCTGTGACTTCATTCAACATCATATCCTCTCCTCTATCAAGCTGCTTATAAATCCAAGTGGGGAAGTATATCTGACTTGATTGCTCCACTCGTTCATTTAAATTCTTCCTCCTCCCCACCATTTCCATCAATAGCATTCCAAAACTATAAACATCTGCCTTGTATGAGATGCCACCAATGTTCTTGTAAAACAATTCAGGTGCAATATATCCCAGTGTACCTCGTGCAGCAGTAAGAGACACAATGCTGTCACCAACAGGATATAGTTTAGCAAGGCCAAGTTTGTGTAACGTTGATGTTGCTGTATCATCATTCTGAGCATCATTATATCATTGTCTTCTTCAACTTTATCAAGATCTACAAGCTCAGGATTGCATCGTGAATGGAATTTCCCATCCACATCAAGAACATATGCAATGCCACCACTCATACCAGCAGCAAAGTTTCTGCCAGTCTTTCCAAGAACAACTACAGTCCCACCTGTCATGAACTCACAACCATGATTGCCAACACCTTCAACAACGGCTTTTGCCCCTGAATTACGAACACAGAATCTCTCTATTACCATTCCATTGAAGTATGCCTCCCCATTGGTGGCTCCATACTGTTAAGATGTGAACCCACTTATTGTAAATATTTTATACTTTAAAATATTCTTTTTATATATTTTATATTCTCTTTATAAACACTTACATATAAATCATTGTACATACAGTATTATTCAAGAAAGCAATAAATTTTTTTTTGAATTATTCTTCTTCTTTTATGTTTCCAACATGGTTTCAGAGCTATAAGCTCTTAATTCTTTTCTCTTATCATCACTGTTTGGTTTTTGGAGTTGGATTTTTAAATCCATTCCAGATCTGAAACTTTGTCGTTAGGATCTCTTTTCCTACAGATTGGATTGTTTATCTTCGATTCTCAGGCTCTTACTCAGGTATTTTGTTGGTTTGTTATTTCGATCTTAGCATCTATTTCTTCATATTTTTAGAGTTTTTTAATATTGTGAGTTTTATTAATTCTATGGTGAGTTTTGAAAGGACTGTAACTCATCCTGCTACTACTATAGTTGCCGAATAAATGATAGACTAACCTAATGTCAACCTTGAATCCCTAAAACAAGTGATATTAAATCTTTTTAATGCTCTTATTGGCTTATCTACTACTCTAGGTACCAAACCTTGGTATTTTGATTTTGGTTGTTGTAACCATATGTCTTCAATTACTGCTCATTTCTCTTCAACGTCACCAAATAATTCCTTTCTTGATATTTATTCTGTTGATGGTTCCCCTATGAATGTTATTCACATTGGCAATATTTCTACAAAGTCATTGACTTTACCAAATGCCTTCTTAGTTCCAAAACTTAGTTATAATCTTTTATCTATTGGTCAATTATGTGATCTGGGCCTTGAAGTAACATTTTTTACTCATGGTTGTCATGTGCAGGACCCACAGACAGGACAACTTCTAGGAACTGGTCATAAGGTGGGGTGTTTGTTTGAGCTCAACTATTTGCATATTCTTGATAATAAAATGGATACACCATCATTTCCATATGATTGATTCATCCAAACCTTGCTTTGTGATATTGAATTAGAGTCTTCGCAAATTCCATATCAACAAATCTTCCAATATTGTGATGCTACTAACATTTCTCTTTATTTGTGGCACTCATGACTCGGACATATCTTAGTCGGTAAACTTCGTTCAATTATCTCTCATGGTTTATCAAGATTTGTTCCAAATAAATCCTTGCATTGTGTGTCATGTCAATCTGCAAAACAATTAGCTTTATCTTAGTAGTCATTCTTTTTCTACTACTTCTTTTGATCTCGTGCATTCTGATGTTTGGGTTCCATCTTCGACACCTACCATAGAGGGTTCCAGGTACTTTGTGTTATTTATTGATGATCATACTCGTTTTACTTGGATATATCTTGTGAAAAATCGCTCTGAGTTACCACAAATTTATATTGATTTTGCTACCATGATCAAAACCTAGTTTTCTAAAATTATCAAAGTTTTAAGAACTGACAATGTCACTAAATATCTTAGTACTAAACTTCAATCCTTTCTCAAAGAACATGGTATATTGACACAATAATCTTGTCCTTCCGTATCTAAACAGAATGGGCAAGTCGAACGCAAACACAGACATATCCTTGATTTTATTCGTGCTCTGCTCATTTTGTCTTCTTGTCCAAAGCGATTTTGGGGTGAAGCTACTCTTACAGCTATTTATCCCGTTAATTGGATTTTATCACCAGTCATTAATAATAAGTTTCCCTATGAATGTTTGCATGGTATTTCTCCTGCCTATGATCTTCTTAAGGTTTTTGGTTGTGCTTGTTTTGTTCTTCTTCCACCTCATGAACATAACAAGCTAGAGCCTAAAGCTCAATTATGTTGTTTTTTGGGTTATGGGATTACACATAAAGGATATCCTTGTTGGGATCCTGTGCACAAAAGCTTCGAGTCTTATGTTATGTTGTCTTTTGAGAACACATTATGTTTTCCTTGTTATCAAACTTCCAGGTGTCATCTTTTGATCAACCTCCATTTTTTACTAATCCTTCTGTTGAGCTATTTCCTAGTGATTTTGATGCAGGTACATCTGATGAGCTTTACAATGCCTCACTACATGCTCTAACTAGTTCTGCAATAGATGATCTACTTGCTAGTAATGCATTAGATAATTCTGAACCTGCCTCTACTTCCTCATCTGTATCACCTGTTGATGGTGCATTTGATATTATTGAGTCTACAAATGAGCTTATTGTCCCATCCTCAAGTCGTCCTACTTGGGTAAGAAACCTTTGTAGCTACCTTCGCAATTACCATTGTTTTCCTGCTATTACTTTACATGAGCCTCAATCATATCGAGAGGCCTTTGCTAACCCTCTTTGGCAACAAGCTATATAAGATGAATTACAGGTTCTTGAGAACACTCGTACATGGGATTTAGTTGGTCTCCCTACTTAAAAGTCTCTGATAAGTTGTAACTGGGTGTACAAAATCAAAACATAATCTGATGGTTTTGTGGAGCATTATAAGACATGCTTGGTTGCCAAGGGTTTTACATAAGAGTATGGAATAGACTATGAGGAAAGATTTGCTCCAGTTACTCGTCTCACATCTATGCACAGTTTGCTTGCTCTTGCTGCTATATGGAGATGGAAATTGTTTCAGATGGATGTGGAAATTGTTTCAGATGGATGTGACAAATGCCTTTGTTAATGGTGACCTAAAAGAAGAAGTTTATCTGAGACCACCTCCTAGACTCAACCATCCTCCAAACAAGGTATGCTGATTGCGATGTGCATTATACGAGTTGAAACAATCTTCGTAAGCCTAGTATACAAAGTTTAGTGCTACTGTGAGTGAGTTTGGTTTTATTTCGAGTCCACATGATACAACTCTGTTCATTCGTAAGACTACTCGAGATATGGTTCTTTTACTTCTTTATGTTGACGACATGATTATTAGTAGAGATGATATCGCAAGTGTTAAGGAGTTAAAATAATCTCTTAATTAGAAATTTGAGATGAAAGATCTTGGTGTTTTGAGCTATTTTTTGGGGCTTGAAGTCACCTCTTCAGATGATGGCTACCAGTTCTCTCAAGTAAAGTATGCCTCTGATCTTATTTCTAAAGTTGAACTCAATGACAACAAGAGTGCTTCTACACCTCTTGAACCTAATGTCAAGCTTACACCTATGGATGACTCTCCACTTTCTAATCATACTCGTTATTGGGAATTGGTTGGTAGTCTAGTTTATCTTACCGCAACACGCCCTAACATAGCATATGCAGTTCACATTGTTAGTCAATTTACGACTGCTTCTCGCTCTACTCGTTATCTAGTGGTACTTCGCATTATTCGCTATATTAAGGGAACATTGTTTCATAGACTCCATTTTTATGCTAACTCCTCCTCTATGCCTCACGCTTATTCTGATGCTGATTGGGTTGGTGATCCTTTTGATCGTAAATCTACCACTAGTTACTTATTTTCCTTGGTAATTGTCTTATCTTTTGTCAGAGCAAGAAACAAACTATTCCATCTTGTTCTAGCACTAAAGCTGAGTATAGAGCTCTTAGCGATACAACATCAAAACTTCTTTCATTACGGTGGCTTCTTGAAGATATGGCATTCCTCAGCCTTCTTCTATTGATTGATATTGTGATAATCAAAGTGCTATATAGATTACTCACAATGATGTCTTCCATAAATGTACAAAACATATCGAGGTTGATTGTCACTTTATTCATCATCATGTTGCAAAGGGAACTATTCGTTTGATTTTCATTAGTTCTACTGATCAACCTATTGATTTGTTTACCGAGACTCACTTCCCTAGACGCTTCCAAACTCAAGTTTGTTTCATCACAACCACCTTGAGTTTGAGGGGAATGTTAAGATGTGAACACACTTATTGTAAATATTTTATATTTTAAAATATTCCTTTTGTATACTTTATATTCTCTTTGTAAAGACCTATATATAGGTCATTGTACATACAATTTTATTTAAGAAAGCAATAAATCTTTATTCGAATTATTCTTCTTCTTTTATGTATCCAACACATACAAAGCAACGTTACCAATTACTATGTTTTCTTTTGGATCAAAGTGACTTTCCCTTGGATGATATACAACAATTTTTCCACCTGATAAACCTTTTCCCACATAGTCATTGTTATCATCTTCAAGCTCCAATAAAATGCCACGGAAAAGGATAGCTACAAGGCTCTGACGAGCACTTCCCTTGAGTTTGATATGGATGGTATCTTTAGCAAGCCCAGCCAGGTGGTAACGCTTAGTTAGTTCATGACTAAGCATTGTTCCAACAGCACGGTTCACATTGAATATAGGTGTTTCAATGTACACTGAAAGACCTCTCTCTAGAACTGTACTGGATAGCTCAATGAGCTGTTGATCCAATGCCATGTCCAAGCCATGATCCTGTTTCTGGATGCAATACTGAGCAGCTTCCAGTCGAATGTCAGCAGCAGGTCTGAGCAACAGGGAGAGATCAATGTTTTCCAACTTCTCATCTTTCTTAACAACTTCACTATCAACTTCAAGCATGTCTGAACGACCCACCATTTCATTAAGAGTGCGGAAACCAAGCTGAGACATTATTTCCCTCACTTCCTCAGCTAGCATAAAGAAAAAGTTAATCACATGTTCAGGTTCTCCTGCAAATTTTACACGGAGAACTGGATCTCGAGTAGCAATACCAACAGGACAGGTGTTTTGTGGTATTTTATCATCATGATGCAACCAGGAGTTATTGGTGGGGCAGTACTGAAGCCAAACTCTTTAGCACCAAGAAGTGCAGCAATTGCCACGTCTTTTCCTGTTTTCAGCTGGCCATCTGTCTGCAGAGCCGTGCGACCACAAAGATCATTAGCAACTAGGGTTTGATGGGTCTCAGCCAAACCAAGCTCCCATAGTAGACCGGCCTTTTTTATGCCTGTCCACTGTGAAGCTCCTGTACCCCCATCATGACCAGATATTAAGACATGATCAGCATGTCCCTTGACAACTCCGCTGGCTATTACTCCCATGCCAGCTTCAGAGACCAGCTTTGACACTTACTGGGGCTGATGGATTGGCATTCTAATGGAACAAAGAAAAGGTGTCAAAGGAAAATGATTTGTTAGATTTTGCCCCATACGAAACAAAGGCCAAATCGAGAAGGGAAAATAAATAAATAAATAATAAAGAAGGTGAAAAAAAAAAAAAAAAAGGAATGTAAACACACATGCATAAACAGGCTAAGCATCACATACACCTACCTTAAGATCATGAATTAATTGTGCAAGGTCCCCAATTGAATGGATATCATGATGCGGCGGAAAGTGACATAGAGCTTGTGAATTAATTAGTAAGTTTTTGTTTAATATGATTGTGAATTTTTAATTTTTGTTTTAGTTTAATTTTAAAATTTTAAAAATTATAAAATAAAATTAACAAGTTTTATAAATTTTAAGATTTTAGTAAAGGATGTTGGCACAAGTTTTATAAATTAAATTTTGGTTTTGAATTGCTCATTCTGATTCTTGAAAGGAAATTTTTTCCTTTCAAAAAAATGTGAAAAGAAAAGTTAGTTAAAAATTGTGTTAAAAAAATAATTACTAAAAATGTCACTTTTATTATTTTTTATTGTAATATTAAAATGTAAAAATATCAAATAACCCTATAAAAAAGAAAGTTCTAAGGAAAAGCTCTCCCTAATCAAACATGCCTAGTCATTTTATTCATTCAAAAGAGATGGAATAGACAAGAAAAGAAGGATAAGTTCAGTTAATGGAATAGACAAAAGCAAATTAAGTAGAAAACATGAAATAGGTCCTGAAGGATTAAAAAGAAACAAGAAAAAGGAAAAGAGGAAAAACCTTCTTTTGAAACATTCCATTTTCCACTAACAGATAGTAAGCTAATATACAAGCCTTTAATGATTGTATAAAACATTCAAAACTCAATATTAAGTCCTTACTTTATATGGGTAGACGAATTCGGAAAAGTAAAAGAACTACTTAGATGTAGATTTCATTGAAATTATTCTAATTCAGGGATAACTTCTAGTTCTCTGTTAATTGGTTTTCTAGGGATGTTGACACCAGTTGTTTGCACACCATCTGCATGGCCAAAGGGATTTGGTGGCACTGTCAAACTATCAACTTTTCCTTCCAACATATGAACCACAGCTTTCATTGATGGACGGTCTGTTGGGTACCATTGAATGCACCAAAGTCCAACAATTGTAAGTTTTTTTGCTATCTTGGCATGCCCCTTGTTTTCTATTATAATCCCAAATTCTTCTCCGTCCAAGCAATTATACACCCATTCTGGAAAGTAAACTTGGCTCGTACTCTCCACTGTGACATCAATATTCTTCCTTCCTCCTACCATTTCCAGCAATAGCATTCCAAAACTATAAACATCTGATTTATATGACACTTTTCCAAAGTTCCTAGACAGTACCTCAGGAGCAATATATCCCATTGTTCCTCTGGCTGCTGTCATAGAAACAGCACTTTGTTCCTTGGAACACAGCTTTGCTAAACCAAAGTCAGAGATCTTTGGATTGAAGTTTGGGTCTAGCAAGATATTGTGGGGCTTGATATCAAAATGAAGGATTTGTTGGTCGCAACCTTGGTGCAGGTACTCAATTCCTTTGGCTATTCCTATAGCAATATCTTGAAGCTTCTCCCAACTGAGGAAACGATCTTCATCTCTGGCTACAAATATGAACTTCTCTAAGGACTCGTTTGGCATGTACTCATAAACAAGAGCCCTTTTATTTCCATCTGCACAAAATCCAATCAAGCGAGTAACATTGACATGGTGGATTCTACACATTGATCCCACTTCGTTAATGAACTCTTCCGCAGTCGCTCTAAAATTGTTGAGGACCTTAACAGCAACCAAAACATCGTTGGAAAGTCTCCCTTTGAAAACTGTTCCATAGGCCCCTTCTCCAAGTTTGTCCTTGAACTGATCTGTTATTCGCTTGATATCAGCATAAGAATATCTTGACGGCTTCAGAGCTTTGTATTCCTCCAGAAAATTTTCAATCTTCTGTTGGCCCTCTTTCTCTGCTTTATATGAATGGTGAACGCGGTAAAGTACAAAGAGAATTATTCCTAGAAGAGTGGAACCTAGGATTATTCCTGTAGCCAATAGTGCCTTCGGTGTATCTGTAAAACATATGATATTTAGCATTTGATATGTTCCTCAAATCAGTAATAACCGATGTTCCTAATTTTACAAGCATTAAAGGAACAGAACAAGTAAGGGCTAGAAGAATTTTACAGCTCAAACTAAGGCAAAATAAAATGAAAACAGCTAAACACAGTGAGCAAAAATGGCATTCATAACATTTGAAATTGTTAAAATATAAAAGCATATATACCTCTTTGTTTCTTGGATGTGCCAAAACACTCAGTCTCATGCTGCGTACTGCTATTTTTTGTCTCCCGTCTGCATTTCCTGCCTACTGCTTCACATGCACTGCAGTCTGGTTTGAGCCAACCCAATTGAATTTCCCCTGCCTTCGTATATAACATATCTTCAAATACTTCCGTTGCTGAAATGTTCAGTAATGTTCTACTGCAATTCACCAAACTAACAGCATCTCTAGAATCAGAAGGAAAAGCTCGAACTTGGAATCCTGGGATGCTTAAGCAAGGAATTTTGGAATGTTTATACTCATAAGCCATTTGTGGTTTATCTGAACAATTGAAAATGGTGTATTTTTTAGGTGGGCCGCTGTATGGGTAGCCAAATAGATCGCTGAAGGGAGATGCAGATAAATTGAGATTGGGAAGCTGCAGCGGGAGGCAACCCTGGGGATCGTATAACTTAATCCTCCGTGCTCTGTAATCTATCTGCTTTACAAACAACTTCACATTCCGCGGTAGCTCGAGCACAGTCTGCTTCTTCTTTGTGCAGGATAGTTCAAACCCAGGATAGCCGCAGTATTCCGGTTGCTGCTCTTTTAGTCGAAACGGAAAGCGGATTGTGTGGTATCTGCACTTTTTGGTTTTGCATTCATCTTTGGCAGGTTGGAGCTCCGCAACCTTCACTACCAAGAGAAAGCAAAAGAGCAGAAGAATCACCCTGAAGAAACTTTCCATCCCCGAAGTCCTGAATCCAAATTCAGTGGAATTTAGGATACATAATATCAGAACTGGAAGAAGCTGCGTATAGAATGAGATACCAAAGCGCCTTTGATTTTTCAAAGCAGCCCTTTGACATCTTCCTTGGAAAATTCTACCATAGAAGCGGAGTGGACCTTTGATTTCAATTAATGCACCCACCCTTTTAATTTTTCATATAAATTAACCGAAAAACTTTCTCATATAAATTAACAGAAAAACTGTAACTTAACTTATATCTAAGCACACGAGAAACTTTCTATTAAAAAATTTTTAACTTATACTCTTATAATGCAATAAATATATTTTAACCATAAATTTATATAAAAAATATAAAAATTAATATTATTTTTAATATTAGTATCACTTATATGAATTTAATTAGATAAATTATTATTGAAGACTTAAATTTTAACTAAATACTTAGTTAAAGGGAACAGGATTTTGTTTTAGTTGGAATTTGGAGTACGGAAAAATAATATCAATATAATCTATTTTCTATTGTAATATAATATGTAAACTAATATTTTTGGTACTAACTGGATCACCTTTTGCTGTTATACAATATGAAGAGCTTGGCCTCATATCATATAATATAAATTAAATTAAAAGTCAATTTATATTTTTAAATATAAATTTATGATTAAAATTACATTTATTATCACATTAATATGAATTGGAAAACCCTTCATACTCCTATTCCTTCTTTTTTCCTTTTTTTTTTTTTTCTCTCCATACTTAAATATTAAAAATTTAATCCTAAATCTATAATCAAAAGCATAAATAATTCTCCTGCAACGTTACATGACTTATAATTTCTTCTTTTTGATTGACGTCCTACAT